AGAAGATGCAGTCAAATATAGCATCCCTCAAAGTGACCCAGGTGCAGAAAGTGGGCTGCTCGTCGCGGGGCTCCGGGAGGAAGAAGGACCTGAAGGACCTGGTGATCTATGAGAACTCCAGCAATCCCGTGTGTACGCTGAACGACACCGCCCAGTTCAACAAGATGACGGTGGAGTACGTGTTTGAGAGGATGACAGGCATGCGATGGAAATGCAAGGTGATGCTTGAGGATGAATTCATCGCAGAAGCAGTTGGAGTGAAGAAATCTGTCAAGCATGAGGCAGCAGAGGAAGCTGTGAAAATCCTCAAAAAGACTCAGCCAACTGTTGTTAATAACCTGAAGAAAGGCACCGTCGAAGACGTCATCTCCAGAAATGAGATCCGGGGTCGATCAGCAGAAGAGGCTTTCAAACAGAAGATCAAAGAAGACAACATTGGGAACCAAATTTTAAGAAAGATGGGCTGGACAGGCGGTGGCCTAGGGAAAGATGGTGAAGGAATTAGAGAGCCTATTTCAGTGAAAGAGCAGTTTAAAAGGGAAGGACTTGGGCTTGATGTAGAAAGGGTGAACAGAATTGCTAAAAGAGATATTGAAGAGATCATTCGAAACTATGCACGCTCAGACAGTCACATTGACTTGACTTTCTCTAGAGAACTGACCATGGATGAGCGGAAGCAGATACATCAGATAGCCCAAAAATATGGTCTTAAAAGTAAATCCCACGGGCAGGGACACAACAGATACTTGGTGGTGAGCAGGAAGCGGCGCAAGGAAGATCTGTTAGACCAGCTGAAGCAGGAAGGCCAGGTTGGGCATTATGAGCTTATCATGCCCCAAGCAAACTGAGGTGAGGTGTCCCCTTAGACCAGAGACTGAGCTTCCTGGACACTCGACTAAAGAAAGAGATGCTGCATTTTTCTTGTGGGTAATAATATCATCTTTTACTTTGGCAATATAATTTCTAAAATGTTCTTAGGCGTTTAGAACCGACCGAGTTCTGTTCCAGTACATTAGCACAACCCAAAAGCAGTAGTGCAGTTACTGTATGTGTCTTTGATATTACTTGTTCACATTTTAATAGTTTTGTAATAGCAAACACACATGTCCAATGAGAAGGAATTTGACATCATTTAAAATCATAGGTCCATTATTCTTTTTGAACAAGGAAGGAAAAAAAAAAAAGCCTCTTTTTTTTTTTTTAAATAATTAAAACAAAGGAAATGCAGTCTGGGGGCATAAACCTGTATGTAAAATTGATATTAATGACAATAAAGTTTTATTTCTGGAAAAAAAAGGATTTGTCACACTTTGTATAAAAAAAGTGTGAAAACTCTGTTTATTCTTGAGAAATACATGTATTGAGGTCTTGTCTCTGCCACGTGTGTATGTACAGTATGTAAACCTTAACCAGCAGTACAGTTTTATTCATAGATTTCTACCCCGAGTCTCCCATTCTGAGAATCACCGAAGGCACCTTCGTGGCCAGCGTATTGGACTGAGAGAATTCCAGCGCCTTTCTACCTTGGAGAACTGCTTGACATGTGCAAATGCCATGGTGATGTGTGAAATGTAAAAACTGGAGGTAAATGCAAAGCCCACGCTCAAAGATGCTCATGTAGCTTGTGGGGACTGTTATATAACTTATTTTTTTACTCTGAATATCAGCTCTTTAATCCTGAGCAAAACCAAATCTGTGCCTGATTATTTCTCTGCTCCATCCCTGTACCTGTGCTTGTGCCTGTCGAGGGCGATTCACCAGTGACCTTGTGGCCTTGCTCTGACCCCTGTGTGAGTGTGGCAGCTCTCCAGGAGGCTGGAACGCTTCTCTCCGTGCCAGGGAAGCAGGCTGACCTCTGGCTGTGCTGCTCCGCCAGCAGCACCACAGGACACGGTGCTCTGTGAGCCTTGGAGAACATTCACTTCATGCTTGGGGAGCATAAAGGTTAGGAACTGGCCTTGGAAGAGCCCAGAGCCAGGCGTGCTGGTTTTTCTGTCAGCAGTGGTTCTGTACTGCTAAGTTGGTCCTCATGCAGTGTTTTTGTTTGTTCTCCTGTTATTGTGTCTCAGCTCTTGCCTTTGGTTTTCTGCTGCCTGTATTTGCCACACCATCCTCTACCTTTTTTCCTCACCTCCTGTTCTGTTTTTAAATACTCCCAGTGCTTTTTTAAGTACTCCTCTTATCGCTAAGGCAGGAGCTCCTGGTGATGTGTAGTTAGAGGCATTTTCATCCCTGCAGGATGCCCTGGCAGGTGAGACTCGCTCAGGAAGCGGAGTGAGCATCCCCTCCTCTCCCTGCCTGGCTGCAGCACAGCTTCTGCCAGCTTGGACTGTTGAAGTAACAACTTGCTGCTGCTCTTGCTGTAGGAAAATAACGTGGCAGTTAATTCTGAAAGTAGATTGTTTTTTTCATTTTGTTTGGGTTTTTTTGTGCATTATTCCTTTTCTCTGGTTCTGAATTCTGCTGTCAAGAATGCTGGGCTCTAGCAGATGGTGCTGTAGGAGTGGAAGAAGCCTGGTACTTTCTAGGGAGATATTCCTGCAAGCAGGAGTGAAACTCCCCCTCCCTAACTCGGGTATGCAGCAGGTCTTCAGAGCTTGCTGATGCCAAGAAAAGCAGTGAGAGCACCACTGGTGTTCAGGATGAAAAATGCCTCTTTTGGGAGAGGTGGGGACTGGCTGTAGGTCGGGGTAGTGGGCCCACGTAGCCGGTGCAGGGCAGGGTGTTGCTTTTCCTGCCCCAGCAAGTGGCCATGACCCATCTTTGCTGAGCACGGTGCCCGTGCAGGATCTGGAGTGCAGGTGTAGGTTTGGCTGGTGGGGCATCACCTGTGGGAGCTGAAGAGCAGCAGCCCCACCCTCCCCTGTGAGTCTGTGCAGTGTCAGGGCTGGGGAGAGACCACGGTTATAATGAAGGCCGTGCATAAAGGCCTTGCCTGAGCAAGCGGTGAAGGTGAGATTGGTGTTTCTGCAGCTCATTTCTGGCTGCACCGAGTCCACTCTCTTATTTTGGTGGGTTTTTTGTGCCTATCAAGACAAACACAAGAATGGAGGGACTGCTAGGAGGGCTCCTGTGACCTTGGAGTGACTTCCAGCTGCTGCCCTGAGTGGGAAGTATGTCAGTGCTGGAGCTTGATCCCACACCCGACTGCTGCCACCCCAGTTAAATAAGCACAGTTATACACTTCTTGCCTATTTATACAATAAGCACTAAGGTTACACTTTATTTACAACTTTTGAAAAATGTACAGTTTCTTACATGGGTTACTTGTGCAAAGTTATACTTTTCAACTAACAGACCAATGTGCACACAAAAGACACTGGAACAGTGGACAACACAATTGTAGGTTCCATCCCACACTGCTGCTTAAGGTTCTGTATCCAAAGGTACAAACTTGCCTTACAAAAAAAGTGAGTCTGGACTTACAAATGTTTTTTTTTTTTTCAGAGTTGAAAAAATACTTTCATAAAACTGAAGGGAACAAACTCAAGCATGCAGCAGTAGCTCACACAAACCACGCGGTCATCTACAAAGAGCAGAAACTGCAGCGACTCGAGTGCCTACCCTGGACTTAATTCAAACTTTCCACAAGACAAAGTTAGATCCCAAAGAACTTAATCTTTCTCAGCTAAATATAAGGGGCAGGAGAAAGATACCAGAGGAGAGTAATTCCACAGCTGAACAGGTCATGTTTTACCTCTTCCTTAACATGGAAGGCCTTTTGCTGAGTACCACACCTCTACCTGGTTTTGTCCAGTAATGCCTCAGTGACAGGACTATAGAAACCTACTGACATTTCTGTAGGCATGTCCTTTAAAATAATAATAATAATAATAAAAAAAAGGGCTTGTTTCTTGCCCTCAGTAAAGATCCAAGTACCACAGCTGAAGTGATTTATGTAGATCTGTACATAAATCTTGCATGTGAAGTGCAGAAGTAACAAGCATTCCAGGGTCTTACTAAATCTTTGAATTGAAATCAATTGAAGAGTTCATTTTTTTAACATGAGTAAGGAGTTGATAAACCAATACAAAAAGGAAACAGGTTATTTCTTCACTCAATACTTACAAATGCAGTGGGGTCTAAACCAATAGTAGAGGAAGTGACCAGCCTGGACACATCAGCACTTTAGTTAATATCAGTTAAAAAATGTGTATGTATATAAACATCCCTTTTATCAAGCTACACATAAGCATCACTGTGTATAACACAATTACAATTAAAAGCTTAGTGTACACTACAGAAATGCACAATACTGCCCTAAGACTGGAGAGGGACCACAGAAAATGAATTCAGCATCAGTAACTCTTTTGCAAGTAACCCAAGTACAGAACGTTTGACTTCAAAGTGGGTGCGTTCTGATGTCCAAGGAGAAGAAGCTTCAGCAAGGGAGGGTGGCAACAGCACAACAGCTATTCTGCTTGCAAAGTAAATGCTAGGAGGAAAAAGATGACTCGGACACTTTGTTTATTTTCCTCATCAACAGAGTGTTCATTTGCATCATCCTGGGTCAACAGTCACGCCAGCTCTGTTCTACTATTGCAGAAACCCGTTTTTCATATTCCCGCTTATTCTCTTGGTATAGCTGAGCTGCCTGGCTGTTTGCTGGACTGTTCGGATTTGGCTCATCCAATAGAGACTGTGCAAAGAGAAAAAGATCCTCAGGCACTGCAAAGTACACAACTTTCCAACGTGTCCTGTAAACTACCCACTCTAATCAGAGCAGAGAGGTTAGTCTGGGTGCAGCACACTGCACTCCTGCAGCTGGAAGGCACCACAGGCTTTGGCTGCACTGGCACTGCTCGGCACAGGGGACTGTGACAGCCAAGCAGTGCATCCCTGGGCGGGTCCCTGCAGTGCCCACCTGTGTCACTGCCCAGCCCATTTACATCTGGCAAGGATTCACACTGTGCCAGTATCAACGTACAGCTGCTATACTGACTCTTGGGAGAGGGAAAAAAAGTTTTCCTGAGCTGTTTTTGTCAAAGCATCCTAATTTCATTCCACCTTTTCATGCAGAGTTCTTTTACCTGTATGGATGTTAAGATGGAGGAGACATCGTAAGTAGGACTCCAACGATTCTGAAGAATATCCAGACATATACTACCGTCTGCATAGACTAGAAAAGGTTCAAAGAGAACAGCTTAAAACAGAAGTTGTACAGCTACTGCCTTTTTCCTGCTATTGCCTGATGCTGAAAACCTACATTCAGACAGACACTACAACAGTCCATAGCATCTGACAGACTGCAATCCAGCCAACAGGCCTGCAGGTAGGAAGCGGTGAAGCTCCTCACCAACAGCTGCCTGAGGTATTTAAACTCAACCCTCTACCATCAAACTTCTCTGTCATTGTAACAACCACTATAGAAAACCACGAATAGCTTTTAAGGCAAAAAACCTTCAGTTACCCAAAAGTGAACCAAATAAAGAACAGCAGCAAACAGTTGTTTACACTCAAGGCTTCCCCAAGAAGTCTCTACATCAGTCAGAGTCCAGTCACCTTCCTCACAGCAGCTACAGGAGAACCTTCCCTCCCTGCACTGTACCCACTCTTGCACATTTGAAAGTGTCAGGTATTTCTTCACAAAGCTGATATTTGTTTGGAGGCCAGGGATACCTCTCCAGCTTTAGTTACCAAGGAAGGGGATTTATTGAACAATCTTACTGTGACTAGCTATAGTGGAGAGTAACACTACACTTCGTGGTATATTGCTCTTACAGGGGTTTTGGGGAAGAGATGGAAGTCAGCTGCATTCAGCAGCATCACTATGCTGTATCTACAGTACAACAGATAGAAGTCCAAGACACTGCTATTTAAGTACAAAACATTCTTCTGTAAGGCTTAACAACAGGCAGTTGAGAGTCTCATCAGTACTGTGCTATAACACCTGAAAGTTAAGAGGCTCTTTTTATTGCCCCTTTCATTTCAAGCCTGAGCACTGCTCATGTATCCATCCTCATCAAAACTACATGGGCCCACACTGGATTTTGCTGCCTTATTAGATAGGGGAAACTTTTATAATAATTAGACCTTTTTCTAAAGCAGGCTATAACAACAAAAAACCACCCCAAAACAACAAAATTCCTCCCCCCCCCCCAAACCCCTACAACCCAACAAAACAACAGAAGCAAAGCCAGGCATTGTGTGAGTACTTACCATTTGGATGAAACATTTTAGAGACAAATCTAACAGTAGGTGGCTTATTTGGGTATTCTTCTGTGAATTCTATTGTAAGTTTGAAAGTTCCTGGAGTTGAAAAAGAGATAAGCAACCTTTATTCAACAAGAATTTACACAAGGAATGAGTAAGTAGCATCCCTCCACAACACACACTGATACTATTGTGCTCACACACGCATGTTGGACATGGAACACAGACTGGGCAGCCCTACAGCCATTCCTCTACTCCCTTGGAGTTAATCATTAGCGCTGAAGTCCCAGACAGTGCTGGTACAAGAGTATCTCCCGTGACTTCTACTGCCAAAACCACCAACCCAGTCAAAGGGTCTGTGTAAGGAATTAAATCTGCCCATGAGGTTTCCTTTCCCAGAGCCCAATCCCTGCACACTGTACAAACAACACAAGTGGGTGTATAACCATCTGCGTAACAGCCGGGATTCGGTAAGTCCTATCTATGGAATGTGCTGTCATGACAAGGACCTTCTTATTTATTTTCTCTGCATTTCAAAAAAAGAAAAAAAAATCATGTTTCTCAACAACTGTGAGGTAATCAGATCTTATTGCAGAAAAGCAGTATTGAATGCAGCATCCAAATCCAACAATTCAAAATAAAAATCTCACCATTTATTTCACACTAACTGGTCTTCCTTGGAGAAAGACTGATTAAGCAGAAACAGAAAACTGCAGCTGAGTCCCACTCCAACGTTTTAACAGCCTGCACCAACGTAAGTTATTTTAGCCCTTCTCCTCAGGCTGTGACAATCTGAGAATAAGAAGTCTGTCAACTAAGCTGCACACATATGGGTCCAGGGGATTAAGGACTGCTCCTGATTCAGATGGATAACTAAAGAACTCACACACTCCACTGCAGACCCCGTGAGCTTCTCCTAACCACGATATCACCCGAGAGCAACCAGCCCGGGCAGCAGCTTAGGAAGGGCCTGGGTATGCCTGGAGAGAAATCTCTGAAGCACCTTCATATAAATGTACAGCTCTTCTGCAGGAGGACTGCACCTTACAGTAGGAGCTGTAACAAGCTGCCAGGGTGGACACACTGCCTTTTTCAAAAGGAATTCTTATATATCAGTGAGAGGTCAAGTTCCCTCCACCCCCCCCACACTCAGTGTCCTTGCTTCCTGCTGCGAGGGAGTTTTCCAGCACTAATATAATGAAGTTATTCCTTTCTCTGGCTGGCAAACATGTGCCAACAACCGGTAGCCAGAGAAAAAATTCCCCCCCCCCATTTTCTTTTCAGATCAGCAAGGACCTGCAGTATCTCCCAGGGACTCCTTTCTTTGTAAGGAGATAAACTGTAACACTGAGTGGCAAGAAATGAAGGTCATTGCTTTGACGTTCCAGTTTGCAAATGAAGACACAGCACAGATGCCTCAGTGCTTTCCCTGCAGCAGTGGGAAGTCTCAACACCCCAAAAATAAGTTTTTGCATGTTTGTTTTTTATTAGCAGCCTAACAACATAAGAGCACAAAGCCAATACCATGCTATCTTAATGTGAAACAAAAAAAACCAGAACAATATAGTTAAGACTGTTCAAGTTAATGGAAGTCTGCAGTGGGGCTTTCAAGCTTTACCCCAGCTAGTCCAGAAGCACAGAGCCAGGTCTGAGATCAGTTTGCAAGCCAGTACTGGGAAGTTAGTAACAACTTCTACCAGCTGCAAACATCAGGTCAGGGTTGCTTTTCCTTCCCTACATGGTGACAGTCCCAAGCAATGCTGGCCTTTTAGAACCAAATGCTTAGAGATGTGATTCTGAATTTCAGAGATTCCCTGCCCCAGTTCTGGTTCTCAGTACCTCCTCCTGAGGAAGGAGGAGTGACTAAGCAAGCAGCAGGCTGAAAACTGAGCACAAACCATCACAGGGTAGAGTTCAACAAGCACACTTGAGCCAATGAATGCTGGTCTGGAACTCTGCCTGAAGTGGGAGCAGAAGGGACAGACAAGACAGCCCAAGGGCAGTAACGGGCAGTTTGGTCTTAGAATCTATTTAAAACTACTGAAAGAAAGGGAAGCTTTTGTCTCACCAGAGGCAGGACAGCATTACTTTAAACACAAATCTGAGCGGGGGGCAGACAGTGTCCAGCTGGAGTATCTCCCTACTCAGATTTCCACATCAGGGCCCAGAGTGGCAATGGCTTTTTGGAACAGCTCCCCAGTACACAACACCTCGTTGCTGAGCTTTAGTAAAGGACAAATCCAGACATCTGACAAACCAAAGTCCAACGGTTACTCACACTGAAAGCCAACACGAGTCAATCAGGTATCACAACACACACTGCTGGGGATGAGGCCTTTGGTGTTCAGTCTGTCACTAACTTTAAAGCTTTCAACCGGTATTCCTCACAACTTACCCTATACAGCCATTTTTTAAAACATAAATTATCATATTCACTGTCATTATTGATATTGGGATCATCACTGAGGAGAAAACAAACATTCTCTTTTCTCTCCTGTACTCACCTTGTTGATTGGCTTCTCCTGCCTCAGGATTTGAGTCTCTGACACAGCTAACAGAAGTCTCTGCACAACCCATGTGCTGGCCCCAGCAGCCCCCCAGAGCAGAGCCTGTGCCCCTGCTGGGCCCCCTCACTGCAGGCAGTGAGAGCAGCCCCTCCATTCCACTGCCTACAGAGCAGGAACAATCTCTTCCGCTCCCGCATGAGGATACACGATCCATATTCCACAAGCAAGGAACAAACCACAACACACAAACGCCTTGCCTTCTCTGTTCAAGCCTCCTGCATGACGACAGCAAGGCAGGATACTACAACAGCTGTATTACTTAACTCTCTCCAAGCCAGGAATCCTGCACTGACCACATTATTGCCATCCAGTTTCAGAGAAACAGGTCTGAAAGACCGGGAGAGCCTGGGCTTCCACGGCTGTGCCAGCACTACCACTTTAGATGCCACACACATATAGATTCTTAGAAATGTGGTGAAAGGCAGGATAAATATCCCCAGGGTACTACTGCAGACACCTGCAATCGAATCCTCTTAAACGAGAAGATGGAAGTTATGCTGCTGATCTGAATTAGTGGTTGCTCCTAAGCTGAGCCAGCCTGAACACTGAGTTGTGAAAACACCCTCCAAAGTCTGGGGGTGGAGAAGGAGGGATGTTAGCTGCAGTATGTTGCACAGCAAGTAAACAAACATGTTTGAACTTCGGGTTTTCAGTCCAGACACCTCAGAAGCTGGGACTGGGGAAGGGCCTCAGCAGAGGGAGGATAAAGAACAGTAATTCTCACGATGTTGGAGTTATACATTGGTTTTAACAAAAATCCCAGAATTTCACACACTACTTTCACAAGAACTAAGCTATCTGAAGTCTTACAGCATCACCAGAAAGTGCCTAAAACCAAAAATACAAAAGCAACTTCTGAAGCACTGACCTCAAAGGCTTCATGAGAAAGATTACAGAGTTTCAGTGTACCTTTGACTCCCAGGGGCCTGCACAGTTACAAAATAAGCCCAAACCAGCATACTGTTAAATTAAAATTCCCTTAATTTTACCTACATTGAGCTGGACTGCACTACCATTATCTGAGCTGTGCTACTCTACTCACTTAATGGAAAAGCACAGCTGAGGCACCAGTAATGCCATATCTCCAGGCACCACTTAGTGTTTTGTTATCTAGCACAAGGTAAGATATGTCCAGAGAAGAGGAGATAAGCAGATATCCTGCAACACAAGACACATCTGTTTTCTTGAGCACAGTGTGAAAACACACACTTTGCTATGAAAAGAGCAATCCATCACACGCTGAGATTACAAGATCAACCAAAGCAGGACAGCAGCAGCCTCAAGCATCTGCCTGAACCTCAAACTGCTGCAAGTCCAACACGTCCTCGGCATCCGAGATAAAAAAATGATGCCGCCACAGAAAGCACAGAGGAAATCAATATGTCAGGGCTCTCAAAAGCAGTCTTCAACCTTCTGCAACTAAATGGAAATGTATGGAAAAAAAACCCCTTATAGCATCTGTTAACCACACACTGAGCTGGAAGAGCCTGAGCATGGTAACAACCTGCATTTTAGCACACTGCAAGGAGACAGCTTTCTGCTCCAAACAGTGAATCACTCCATTAGCAGCAGTGCTCCAAGAGCCTAAGCAGCTCTAGCAACCCTCATAGAAGTTTAAGGGAGTCTTCTTTAAAGGTTACAAGATGAGATAAAATGTATTTAGTCTATCTGTTCTATATAATACAATGTTATGGAACACTTAAGTTCTAAACATTAGACTGCTGAAGCAGCTACTACAGCAAACAACTAACCAACTACATTAAAAAAAGTAACTGGAATCTTTGCAGTTTTCTTAGGCTTGAGATATGTAAAATCTTCACAGAGAAAAACAATCTGCAGTTTAGAGGCATGTCCACAGGTGCTACCTCTGAGGATAAACAGAGACATGGGAGTTAGCCAAGAACAACATAAAAGAGTTAAGGAATTTTTCCTATGCTTTTGTCATGAGTCACGGAGATCTAGGATTAATTATAGCCTGCACTGAAAATATCTTAAAAAAAAATGCATCGCTGATTTCAGTTAGACAGTATTTCGTGTCTAACAGGTTTTCACAACATGCTGAAGTATTCATACAGCACCTGTAAATCTATCAAAGGCAATAAGGCCAGATGGAAACTACAGGTATGTTACCAGGACCTATTTAGTCAGCTTTTAGAGTTAAAAAGTCCTTTTAATCTTAAGCCCTGAATGATAACAATTGTAGCAGACTGAAGTAAATGCCAAAAAAAACCCCAACCCAACTGTTCTGAACTTCCTCAAACATGCAGCCCATTTCCTACTTCAGCTGACTCACATTGGGACTTACTCACAAAACACTTCCAGCACCAGAAAAGAAACACAGAACTCAAACAAAAAACAACGGTTCTATACCAGGATTTTGATGGTTCTCCAAATACGAGTGTCCCTAAAAACACAGTCCAGGGTTCAACAGAAAAGCTTGAAGAGCCTTAAAATGTGACATTAAATTAGGTTTAGGACAGCCAGACTTCACGACTACAAGCAAGACCCTACAAGCTAATCTGTCTATCTCAGTAAATCAGCACAGCAATCTAAATCTACATCAGTTTTTGGAAGTGGGAATAAGGGGGGGAAAAAAAAAAAGGGTATTTACTTAAGTCAAGCACACGGGTGTGCGGTCAGGTGAACGTGACCCATGCCCCCCCTCCACCCCGGGCCCACACCTGTTGCAGAGTTCACGGCAGTGACACCAAGGCCGTGTCAAACCGCACCAGTTTTACCCCCAGAACGCCAACCACCAGCCCCGCACGCCGCACTTACCGTCCTCGAAAGGGGTCCCCTCGGGCCTGGAGGAGGGAAAGCAAAGCACAGCGTTACCCCGCGGGCAGCCCGGCTCCGACCCCCGCGCGGCGGCCGAGCGGCCCCCGCGGCCCCGCCGCCCCTGGCCGCGCCGACTCACCCGAAGATGACGGCGTTCCACACCATGATGTTGTTCTCGGAGGGGGCCCCGCTCACCCCGGCCGGGGGATCCTCCTGCAGCCTGCGGGACACAGGGACCGTGAGGGCGGCCCCGCCAGCGCCGTAACCCGGCCCGGGGCTGCGCAAACGGCGTAACCCGGCCCGGGGCCGCCGCCCTGCGCAAACACCGTACCCGGGCCAGCGGCTGCGCCAGCAGCGTAACCCGGGCCGGCGGCGGCCGCGCTGCGCAAACGGCGTAACCCGCGCCGGGCAGCGCCGCCCGCGCTACGCCACCAGCGGAGCGCGCCCTGCCCCGCCGCCATGTTGTGCTGCCCCCTCCTCCCCCGCCAGCGCTGGGCCCCCCGTCCTCCTACCGCCCGCCCCCCCACCCCTTCCCCTCGGCCCGCGGCCTCGGTACCTCTTGAAGTCCCGCATGAGGCGCCTACGGGCCGGAGTGGACATGGCGGGCTGAGGGTTATAGCTCAGGCATACACTGCCGGAGGGAGCGCGGGGCGCCGGGCGCGGTTCGAGCTCCGACTGAGGCGGCGGCGGCGCTGACCGACAGGAGCGATCGCAGCCTCTACCACTGCGGCGGGCGCGGGGGGGGGAGCCTGAGCTGCACCGACTCCTGCGCCGGCTGCCGGACGGTCCCGGGATGTACCAACGGCGCGGGGGGGGGGGCGGAGCCGGATGTGGTGGAGCCCCCGGCCCAGCCTGAACCACCGCGGCGCGGGCGCGGGGGCGGCGCCGGGCGGGGCTGTACCAACGGCGGCGGGGGGCGGGGGTGGAACGTGATTGCTGACGTCATGGAGGGGGCGGAGCGTCGGCGGCGCTGCGGGTTGGGATCAAAACAGTTCGACAGGGAAAGCGAACGTCACACACGGAAAAAGGAAAAGAGGGAATTTAATGCCCACTTCCCAAGGGCAGGCAGGTATTCAGCATCCCCAGGACAGCAGGGCCCCAGCACACGTAATGGTAGCTTGGGAAAACAAACACCATCACTCCAAACGTCCTTCCTTCCTCCTTCTCCCCCAGCTTTATTGCTGAGGATGAAGCCATATGGTCTGGGATATCCCTTGGG